CTTATTAGATGACGTTTCCACTAACTATAGTTAACTTTAATCAGTGACACTTTTTTATACAACCGGCCCCAGTAATTTCTTTGTGTTATTAAATTGTCAGACTATCAGTTTATGTCTTTCAAGTTTATATTTCTAGCCTAATGGCTAATGAAAAGTCATGCAGGTGTTGACAGTTGACTGCAATGGCCTGGGCCAGTATTCAACTTGACTTCCGTACACCAACACAGCAGCAGATCATCTTCGGCATCAGGTTTATATGGAATGCAGCCTGGGCCAGAGGGAAAATATCGACACTCTGAATGATAGGTCGAGCAATGTAGCCCTTTTCAGTTCAAGCAAGTAGGAATTATGTTAAGTTAAACACAAAGCTACAGTCATAGAGGCCAGCTAGGCTTTCTATCATTTTGATTATTATATAGTTTAACAGATCATTGTGAAAATTTTGCATGGGTTTGTCACATGTTTGTGATAAAAGATCACTAAAAATAATAATTTTGATTAAATAAAAATTTCTAAAAATTCAAGCAGCACAAAATATGGATGCTGGTGATGATAATAAACTGGGATGTTATGACATGGCCTAATACATGTAGCTTATTGCCTAGCTTGTCTGGATAGTTCATCTTGTGTTGATACAATATCAGGAGCAACTTAATTGTAATGAGCAACTTTGCAATGCCTGTTACTGCAGTTATTAACATATAACTTAATTCAACAACATTATATGTAGTTAGGGAACCACAACTAATCAAACCCCCATCTACCTCAAATCTGAAAAAATAGGTACGCAATGCGTACATGTGGCTAGCCTGGTAAACTTTAACTCCCAAAACCCTCCTCCAAACCCAGAGAGCCTGCCATGCTGGTTAACTTTAATCAGTAATAAGAAGACACGCAGGCTAACTTTAATAGTAATAAGAGGAGATATTATTGTACAATGCATATGCAATCTCCGTGGTGATTGGCTAAGGATCTACAAAAAATTCTCAATGTCTTGCTGCCTCCTACATTGAAAAATTGTCGGTAGGTGACATAACTTCTAGTATGCATGGCTGACCTACAAAACTCTCTGCAACTGCATATGCTCTTGCAATTGTATAATATTTCAATTACTGTGTCCAGTCCTCAGCTTCAGCAGATGACATTGTCATAACTGTCGAGGTTGACTGCATATCGTGCATGAGACTTGGCTCTCCTAGGAGGGGGGAGCTTGGAGTTCCAGCATCATACACCCTTCCCACAATGTCTTAAAATTTGGGTTTCTGAAATGACATTTCCAGCATTATTTGAACACATTTTTGAAAGATTACTTTTCCCTAGTTATTAAGTTGCAAAGCTTCCCCATTGACGAATAAAATCGTCTGGCGTTGGACAGGTCAAAAAAGTAGGGCGCACTGGGGCACATTGTGACTAAATGGGTTAACCAATATTGTAGGGGCTGTTCATGTTACAGGTCAAATGAAACATTATTGACTGAAAAATTAGTATGGAAAATATAAAGAGAAAGTAAAGTCATTTCACACATTTCTGAGTTTTGCATTTGTCTTAATTTTAGCAAATTCTGTAGATCATACTTAGTGGATGATTATACCCAGGGGATGCTTATACCCAGATGGTGCTTATACCCTGAGGGTGCTTAACGGCAGGGGTTGCCTATTCTTGGGTTTCACTTAGGGATGAGCCAACACCAGAAAAAAGTCAATTCGCCGATCCGATATATTGGAGCCAATATAAAAAAATAATCGGCCGATTAATCGGCTATGGCCGGTACAAGCGCCGGATAACGGTTTTTTGAAAACTTTTAATACTTTTGTATACGCCACAAATTGACGTACTAGTTTTAGTGTGTTCCGGAAAATATTTACTCATATTGGACAGTTATCGATCACTGCACGAGTCAAATAAATTAATGGATATGGGATTAAATACGCACAACAAAAGTGTAAAAAACAAGACGGAGTGTAGATTACTAGATATTTATAGAGTTATTTTTCTTAAAAAAACGAAAAAATTGCGAATATCGGCAAATATCCGATTATAAAAAATAATCGGCCGATTACCGATTATTTTGAAAACGCCAAATATCGGCCGATTTATCGGCCGTACCGATTAATCGGCTCATCCCTAGTTTCACTACAGCATTATGCAGTGAATCTGACGGGGGGTCAACCTCAAATGTATTGATGCTTATGCTGTAGTGGAGTGAGAAAATGATACGAAATTCCATGTATTTGCCACTGAACACAAAGCTAATACATAAAACGAACAATCGACTCACTCTAATAACTGTGTTTTGTTTTAGAGTTGACCGCCCGTCACATTTTGTGATGTCATATGAAACCCAAGAATACGGGTATACTTGCTGTCCAGATGCTTATTATACCCAGAGGGTGTTTTAGCAAATAGTTTCAAAAGGAATGTGAAAACACATTAGATGATGAACACAACAATTTTTATACATCCAAGGAGATATATACTAAGAAATGCAAATACTAACAAAATTACTAAATAATTTCATCTACATGGACTACTGTACTATAGGCTGCAATAGTCAAGGTTGTTCTTGTGACTACATTACCAAAAGTCAAGGAAGTTTATAGTTTTTTTTACTAATATAGCAATAGTCAAGGTAGTTAATCCCAGGACAAATGGCAATTGGTTTGCAATATACCTACAATACTCCTGGCATTCTTGGCTTTTGTTTGCTACGTGGCCTAAATTCACGTACTGTAAATAGCCCTGTATGATCCGTACGAGCACAATGGGCCCTTTCATGTGTAATATTGTATTTTTCAATTTTAATTTTGATTTGGCTCCTTTGTATTTCTGATTTGATACGTCGACTTCGCGTATAAGAATGCCAGATCTATCGCACCTATCAATGTTAATCCCGGGGGTGGGGGGGTCGGGCAAGGGGTGGGGATTTGACATTTTTACAGAAAAAAATGTCAAATGCCACTCCCTCGGGACAAAAGTCCTGGGCAAAATTCCCCACCCCCGGGATGAAATTGTATTCCTGAAGTATTCGGGTTTCTGGTGCACTCTATATGTCAGGTGATAGGGAAATGACATGAATACATTCAGCGGTATAATTTAAAAGTATTACAAATATAATAAACGTTTCAAAATAACTTAAAATACTCCTTAATGGTTCATAAACCTTGTGGCATATCATGTTAGCCATATTACGTCACGTGGAGCGACTTAATAATCTGATAAAACACATGTATGCATGTGGCATTATATAATCGTTCATCTTAATTAATATTAGTATTCTTATATAATTGTTCATCCTAATTAGTATTCTTTTGTAGTCGTATTTTAAGCTATTTAAAACGCTTGGCTGCGCTTCGTGTTTTATATCTGACAAAACAGTCCTACTCGTGTTTTAAACAGCACATAATGTGAAGTTTTAACATATAAGTATAAATGATAAATCGATATTAACATAATTAATATAAAATGTCTAGAAATCTCCATATTTCTTGTAAAAACCACGCGCGAGACGGCGAGCGATGTAACCTCTTTCCCAGGCTCTTTCCTCTACGCTCCTAGGAGCGTAGAGGAAAGAGTCTGGGAACAAGGTTGCGAGCGATGAACTAGTGCCCAGTCTTCAGTTTGTTCAAAAATTGGCTCGGGTTTCTTCAGATATCGTCTGAGATCAGTGTTAATCTGTCAAAAATCCCCACCCCCGGGCCACTGTCAGTCCAAATCCCGACCCACGGGACAAACCGATTGATCAAATCCCCCCCCTTTGCCCGACCCCCCCCCCCTCGGGGTTAACATTGATAGGTGCATATATTCGAACCAAAAATATATCTTTGACCAGACCAAGCCAAAATGGCGTTGTAAATAATGGGGAGAGTGCAGAGTGCTGGGTTAACCACCTGCCTACTACAAAGTAAATGAAATATGATGATGTAAATGTAATTTTAGCATGCTGATAGAATGAAGAAAATAGCTGTGCCTGCCAAATAGCATTGGCACATTAATATCCGGTCATGGACAAATATTAACCACTTTCTATTAAAATTTAGCCCAATATATAGACACTGAATATGCACATCGCATCAAATTTCACAAATTCATAAATGAGATAATATGTCTAAAGAACCATTCAAACAAGTTCAACTTAACATCCCTACTATACCATGCGCAAATACTAAATTAGTGGATCACAAATACAGATAGAAACCATTCAATATACATACATAGATGTCATCAAAATCATTCCTCCTTGAGTGCTTTCTGTCGCCGCTCTTCAATCCCTACTTTCAGCTGTTGTTTGATTTCCCTCGCTTTATTAAACCCTTCTTGACTTTGCTTATCTCGTATTTCGTCAAAACTTGGCAACAGCTTTCTACGATTGATGAATGCGATCGTTAATGTAGTGAAAACACCAAAAAATACAACTGGAAATGCCGCAAACCTTGCCGCCATATTACATTGATATTCGCGAGATTCGAAGGCGCTGAATGCGCTATTTGTGGTGAACTGCTATTGGCTAGAGGGATGCAAATTAACCAATCAACGCTCTTTGCTAAACGAGAACCTCTTTGTTATGTCTTGTCTTTGTTCTGTGTGTGTTTTGGTCAACATCTGACTTTCATAGGGAGGCACGGGAAGCTTTAGGAAAAATTCAGTGACAATGGACACAAAAAATGGAAGAAAAAAATTACACAAACGCCAAAACGGCATAGAAAATAGCATACAATTTGTTTCCTGAGGGAATCGAATGGCATCGAATAGGGAAAATACCCAGTGGCGGAAATCTCGGTGTGGGGAGGGGGCGACCGCCTACCTTTACGGAATATTGACGATTTCGGAGATTTTGACCTAAAAGAGGGCTAAAAACAGCTTTTTCGAGTGCAAATGGGGTGAGGGGGGTTATCGGAAATTTGAATGGTTTGAACTTTGAAAAAAAATCCTGCTTTAAAACAAAACTCTCCCCTCTCCCCTCCCATACAAGTTAAGTTTGTCGGCCGCTTATTCGTGCCCAAACCATGTGGACACGACGCGAACATCGAAGATACAGAATTGTCGAAGTTTGACAATTGGAAAGACATTTCTGTTGCATTTTTTGACCGTTCAGCTCTATTATTTCAAAATGAATATACGCTGTGCTACTCCAGAAGACTTGATGAATATGCAGCACTGTAATTTGCTGTGTCTACCTGAAAATTATCAAATGAAATATTACTTTTATCACGGACTGTCATGGCCTCAACTCTCATATGTTGCTGAAGATGAGAAGGGGAAGATTGTTGGTTATGTTCTAGCTAAGATGGAAGAGGAATCAGATGAAGCAGCTCATGGTCATATAACATCTCTTGCTGTAAAACGTTCACATAGACGGCTTGGTTTGGCTCAAAAACTGATGGAACAGGCATCAAGAGCTATGGTTGAATGTTTCAATGCAAAATATGTATCACTTCATGTAAGGAAAAGTAACAGAGCAGCTCTACATCTTTATACTAACACATTGAAGTTCAATATCTATGATATAGAGCCAAAATACTACGCTGATGGAGAGGATGCTTTTGCTATGCGACGAGACTTGAGTGAATTCACCACTGAACTAACCAAATCCATTGCTGCTGTAAAAATTCAATAAACATCAAATATGACACTTGCAAGATATTTTGATAAATTATCATTTGTTGTTGTTGTAATTCTAAATCAATCAAAACTGCTACTACAGTGATAATACTTGTTTGGTATTTTTCATAAGAAACAATAAGTTATTAACAAAACCTTGGGTGCGTAATGTGACCCAAATAACGTGGAATTTCAAATCAAACATTTTAGAATTGTAGCTATATTACTAGGCCAATATTATTATTAACTGTTTTATACAGCATGCTTTCTTATGGACCAATTAATCAGGTGGTGCCATTCTCACTATGTCATTTTCATGACATTAGGAATGTAAATACATTTCTGAATATTTTAATGGAAATTATGACACTAATGTGACATAAACAGCAGTTCACAAGTGATCAGAAGTTGTACCACTATCAGACCTGCAAATAATTATTTTGCTTGGAAGGACAAATGTGAGGCCAAGACAAAATATAGTCGGACATTCATCAGCTTTTCTCAGACAATGGACAAAGTAAAATGTTTTGTATCTTTTTTAGCAAGATGTATTTCGGCTGGTCATGTTAATCTGCTATAACTGAGTATAATATCTACCTAATATATCTTCCTATACCATCCTAATGCACCAGTAAATTACCATGGTGAACTCAAGTTATACTTCTACCATGTTATACTGTACGAAGGTGATTTAGATTTTATATTGGTAATTAAATCTTACTGCAGCAAAAAATGATGGGAAAGTGTTGTTTATCAATATTTGATTTCATTAGCAAAAATATATATTTTTGATATTGGACATTTGAACAGCCTTTAAATCTGTTGGTCACATGTCCATTCATAAAAAGCTTTGATCGGACAAGAGGTAAAGTTTGGCCAGACAATGGGTCATTCCAGGAAACATCCTGATCCATACCCTTCCCCACGGAGGAAACTGGCACTATGTCTAATTTGCAAGCCTGGCTATGTGGCATGATAAATGAGAATTACAGTATGGTGCAGTGTGCCTTACTTATTTTAATATTAATTTTACTTGTCAAGGGGAGTGTGGCATGTGCTGCCATTCAATGGGTTAATCAGACAATCTGCCAATGCATCCTGTACCTTTGATGTGCCATACTTTGTTATTTGTGGAAATGCAAAATATATGGCAGATGGTTTAAATATATTGCCAAACACCAACACTTTTGTATATGATGATGCAAATAGGGTGACCACAATAGCCAGTTTACAACATGGACAAATCAATAAAAAAATTAGTAGTGTGCTTTAAGTGCAAATGGCAGGTTTCTAGAATACCGCATGCACACCATCCCATTCTTGGACATAAATCCATTGAGTGGTAGAGCTCTGACCCCTTGACAAGTAAAATCGCCTGAGTAATAATATTAAACAAAAATGATAATAAATAAGGCTAGGTGCATTGCTAAAATAAAAATGGTAAAATTGTAGTAAAATGCTGAAGATCCCAGATCTTCTATTGCCATTCCTGGAAACGAGCCAATATATAAGATAAATTGGCGACAGGTCGCTTACATGAAGTATGCCCTTGGTAATTGCCGTGTGTCCGGACCTGCCCTTCGTTCTTTATATATTTTTAATAATAGCAAGATTGTCTTCAATTTTGTTACGATAAAAGATTTAAAACAATCAGTATACGAGGACATATTAACAAGACATGAGACTGGTAATTCTTGATGATTATGATCGTGTTAGTGAATGGGCAGCCAAATACGTTCGTAACAGAATACTTGCTGCGAATCCTGGGCCTAACAATTATTTTGTGCTTGGTCTGCCAACAGGTATATTTATAAATTTACATATTATTAATAACTTTGCTATATACCATTCTAATACAATCCTTTATATATGCGAAGTGGCAATTCGTACTGGAACAGTACGCCGAGTTTGATTTGCTATTCGTACTGCAGTTGGAATATTTAAGATAAACAGACCCCAATCCCATGTTGAACCCTTCTCTAACCCTATTAACCAATAAATGACTAAGTGTCTATAATAAACAATTTGAGAGTTAAAAAATTTACCGGACCCAACCTTGTTTCGCTTTGCATGCATGCACACTAGAGGTGTTCGGATTTCGGAACAAAAATATTCATTTCAGATTGAATTGGATTGATAAAGTTGTTTTGTAGTCAGATCGGACTTCGATATTGTCAGCTTCTTGACATGTATTTCTTGCTATGTATTTCTTGCTTTTATATTTATTTGGTTAAATATTTCCACTTGAATGAGAAATTTATTTTATTAAATTAAAGGATTCTTCGGATCGGAATTCTTTAATTATCAACATTCGGATTGGATTGATCAGATTAGAAATTTCGGATTGGATTTTAAACATTAGCCAATTGTCGGACTATATTAAACGTCCAATCCGATCCGATGCACTCCTCTAATGCACACAACACCTTTGCCGAATACGCTACCAGCAACTTTGCTGAAAGCTGTTGCAAAAAACTATTTTATATTACTAAGGGACCGGTCATTAATTACAGGGGAGGGGGAGGGGGGGGGGGC